AGTAGTTAGCAAATGGAATGCATTAGACAGTGATGTGGTGGCGGTAGACTCCGTACACAGTTTCAAATGTAGATATGATAGAGTCCAGTAGGCTCAAGAATCTGTACACCAGTTCATTGACAGTTAAGAGGCGGGACCAAAGCGCCATATCTCAACCCCCGCAAGCACAACTGAGTACATGAAATGGACTCTGCTACTATCATAAATAATTTTGTTGTATTTGTGTCTAGCATCAGACACGAGCCTGTTACAGTTATGTCTTAAAGAGTTGAGAGCAATTGAGGATGAGGAAGAGTCACTTACAATTAACGTATCAAGTTTGGAGACGTACACATTTCAGTGCAAGAAGCAAGGCAATTAAATAGTTCGGTCTGAAGGGTAGAGGCCCAGTTGTTTATATGGACTCCCCACTCAAAATATAAGCCATCGCCCATTGTCAGGACAACTGCATTGTATGAGAGAGAGAAAAAAAAAAGAGTCCTGCACAAGGTCTCAAAATTGTTCATCTGCTTGTGATGTTAGGTTGATCCAATCTATGGTCTCGTGGTTAAGTCCCCAATTATTAGGGTTTGGGTTTCAGATGCTGCATTGATCACACATTATGCAAATCCGCAATATTCTCTTCCGTTGCTGTGTCAGGCTTGTAGCATGCTCTCAATGTCATTTTGCTACCATCCTGAGTTAATATGTTGCACCATACAGACCTGGAGGAACCCATGGTGTTCAGTTCCTCATTGTTGGTAGCATCCAGGTCCTTATGGAGGTCAACAAACCTATGTTTTTTGTCATTTTTGTTTGTGGTACTCCTTTTACAGTGAATGTAATGTCATCCATTGTTTCTTCTGGCCTTTCATCTAATAACCTTGATTTATTGCAAAAACCTGAAATCTTTTGTTGAGTTCATCACATACCTCATTATCATTTTCTATGAGACTTCATCCCTTGTCTCCTCAATCTGAGTTCATGGACTCATGCTGTTATTTTTCATCCTCATATAGGCAGAGAACAACTTGGGTTGGTCTAGCATTTTGCAGCAGTGTCATTTTCAAATTGCCTCTCGGCTTCTCTCCTAATGCGGTTGTATTAATTTCTGGTTCCCTTCAGTGCTTCTCTATTGTCCTCTGTGGGTCTCTGTACTTTTTCTCACTTTTTTTGTCCTTTCTTTAGCCTGTTGTGCCTGAGCCTTTCTTTAGCCTGATGATCATAGCTATTTTCCATTTACTGGGAATATTGCCCTCTTTATAACTAATATTAAAGAGGTCTAACAGTGGACTTTTCGTCATAATGGCAAGTTCATTAAGTATTTCATAAGTTACTACATCCTCCCCAGGTGCGGTAGATTTCCCAACTTTAATCGCCGTTATTAGTTCTTCTCTGGTAATACCTGTGCAAGTGACATCACCACTGTTACCTGCTATAAGTATAAAATCCTTTCTTAGATCTTTCCAAGAATCTAATGACTCTCTCGTTACAGCGGGTAATGAACTAAGTTTGGCAGCTTCCGCCCATTTATTTACGAGACCATTTGCAATTCCTTGCGGGTCTGGATGTGCAACAAAATTGTGCTTTTTACCCCTTATTTTATTTACGTCTTGCCAGATTTCCTTCAAGTTTCTGTTACTCCCAACTTTCTCTGCAAATTCCTGCCAATACTTGCTCCTAATTTCCTTTCTCTTCTCCCCACACAGCCTAGCAACTGCCAGTAAAGCATTCTTCCCTTCCTCAGTCCTACCATTCCTATTCCAATCCCTGTGAGCTCTCCTCATTGTTAATGTCCACCCCTTAAGCATCTTGTCATGTGTATAATTTTCTTTTCTGGGGGGATGCCTTTTTATACTAGATGGTTTCCGGTTCAATGTTGCATTAAATACATCTACCTCCTTAATTAAATCTTCATAAAATGCTTCTGCCGAAACCGGCTTATAAGTATCATACCAAGACTTAATATGGCCAACAAGACCCCTTAATTCTCCCTCATTAAACTTTAACCTTTTCCTCTGAAGGCAGGCATGCTTTTTATCTAGTTTAAGCTGTATTTGTAATGCAAAATGATCACTTAGCATTTCATCCACAGTAAGACAATTCCCCTCTATGCCCTCAGCATTTATTAAACAAGCATAATCTAATCTCCCTCCCCTCAAATGAGTAGGAGAGGGCTCGCCCAGCAGTTGAACATCTTCATGTTCCTGCAATAACTGGTACCATCTGCAACCATTCCTATTTGCTTTACCCCTTGATCCTAAAGCTGGATGTCTGGCATTAAAATCCCCTACCACAAGTGTATCTTCAGAAAAGAAGGAATCTGGCAAGTATCTTAAATCAAGGGAGCTATCAGAGATGTATAGATTAATGAAATTTAACTCTCGGTCCTTTAATTGTATCCGCAAGCTAATACTTTCAATACCTCTATATCTCTGAGGGATTCCAGTTATCTCGGCAGGTATGGTACTTTTGACATAACATGAGACCCCCCTAGTTCCTCCATCAGCATATAAGTGAAAGCCTGTATAGCCATTTAGCCTCAGTATGCTACCATCCCTATCCCCAGTTTCCTGGAGTGCTACTATGTCAATATTCTCTCTAAGAGTATAATAGTGTACATCCACCGCTCTAGTTTTTAATCCATTAATGTTCCAAGATAATATTCTCAACTTACTTTCATCCATGATTAATAATATAACTACCTTTGCCCTGTCCGTCACATTCCATGAGATACAAGAGTACCTTAGAAACTTCCTTCCAACACCGTAACATTTTTTCTTTCTCCTCACCTTCACAACTACTACAAACATCGAAGGTAATATTTTTCATATCTATTTTCTTTGTTATTTCTGTAACCCGTTTTACTTTAACCGTTCTTTCACCATTTGTCACAACAGGAGGTTGAACACCGCTAACACTACTAGAAAGTGTATTCTCCTGACTCTTCTATCATCGTTACCTCATGCACATCATTACTTTCTTCTACGCACATTTCACTTTCCATTTCACATCTCGTTTTACTTTCAATTACACGTCCTGTTTCACCACCATCTTCACCCCGTCCACCTTCCATAGCCAATTTTTCCAATGCCTCAATCCTCTTATCTAGTTTTTTTAGATACTCCAAAATTTGATTACCAACCTCAGAGGTGATCATATTGTCCTGAACCTTATCGTCACAAGGTTTCAGTTTTTCCACTGCATGATGTACTTTCCCTAAGCTCGCCTTTACTTTCTCCATCCCTTTTTCCCACACATTGATCATAGGGGCTGCCGTTGGCTTCCAACTGTTTCCTCCATGTTCCTCTTGCACAATTTTTCCTTGTTGCGAGGATATACATCTATCCTGCTTGTAGGACCCGTTCTAGTCTCTTTCAGATGAGGCTTCATGGGGCATTGAGAGGAACCAGCATTGTGGCTGCCTCGACAGTTGCAACAAAATGGGATGATTTTTTCACTTCTTTCAATCTTGACTCTACACTCTCGCGAGTCGTGTTTTTTCACACAATACCGACACCTGGGGTCAAACTGGCATTTCCATGCCATATGTCCCCAACGTGAACACTTCATGCACAGCATGGGCTCCTCAACGTATTTTGCAACGTTCCTATAGCCTAGTCCTTGCACAAAAATTTTCTCCGGCGCCTCACCCTTTACCAAGGCAACAACCTGGCTTCGTTTGTCACCACGAACACTGTTCCTCTTTGCCCAGACAACATTATCATTGTTAAGAAGAAGACAGTCAGGATCCAAATAAGTTGGAAACTTGAAAACTATGATCTTTGTGTGCAACATACCTTCTTCTGGAGGAACCATCACTACATTCTCAAAACCAACCGTCGTGAGGCGTTCCACGGCTTGTTCAGTCCCAACTGTTATGTAGGGCCGGTGAAGACCCTCCTTGAAAAGTGGTTCGTATTCCAAACATTGTTTAGCTAGACGTACCGTCCACTCTAGCTTTTGGTGGAAATTCAATTGGCATGTTGTAGGGAACGACAGCTTCTTCCTTCTTGTCTTGTCTTGAGTCTTGCTGAGTAGGGTCTCATTCTTTGGTCTCTTTGCAATCTCATCGTCACTCACTGTCTCGCTGTCTGTTATTATTTCTCCGTTTCTTTTTGTTCACTACTACTTCAAACGGTCGATTATCATCTTGTCTGTCCTCCTCACTACCACTTAGGCATACCGCCTCAGCCATTTCTTCGACGCTGTCAATAATCGAGAACAAATGCACAATATCCTGTATCACCACGTGCAGAAACGAAGAGTGTGGGGCAATCCTCCACCTCCCACCAATCAGCGGACGCCAAGAGCGCCAACCTAGCGACCGCACACAACCGTGGTCTGGATACAACTGAGCTTGTCATTTAAGTTTTTCATGCCCGAAACGCTTTGCGTAATAGTGGCTTTAGGCATTGTATGTACTAGCTCTACCTATAAGTCAACCAATCTTTGTAAAAATTTCTTGTATGTATGTACCTTACCTAAATAAACATTTTATTTTATTATTTTTTTTTATAACAATCATGATATAAGATGATGAAGTTAAATGGCTTCGAGACATATTGGGGGAGTGGGTAGCACAAGAAACAATGCGAGTTGAAGGCACTAGGTGGGAAACTATGAGGGCTGTAATTAGGTACTTTTTGGTATTATTTTTAATAAGGCGATGTTTTTTTTTCGAGCAATGAATTCCATATATTTTCCCGGTCTCGGTAGCACAGCCAAGTTCATTCTCGACTCGCAATCGAGAATTCTGGATTCGAATCATGGGCGGGACAGAAGCAATTGGGCGAGTTTCCTATAACCTAATACACCTGTTCACCTAGCAGTAAATAGGTACCCGAGTTAGTCAACTTGTTGTAGGATTGCATCCTGGGAGATGGTCAGTAATTCGACCCTATGTGGGGGAGGGAGTGTAGGATCTATGTATAAACCTAACATGTACTGTATGTATTAACTGGCTGCCTGTCCCCCGATACACTAAGTTATTATTATTATTTCATTTGCTGGTTGTGGGTGCGTGTGTGTGTGTTTGGATGAAGTTGGTGGGGGGGTTGTCTGGGAGGCCTGCCCGCTCCCCCTCATCCCTACTCCCGACAGATGGCAGCACCACCATGGCGGAGGACCAGGTACGCATCAAAACAATCTTATTTTTATCTCATGTACTTCATTTTATGAATGAATAACGATGTATATAACTGACAGTCGGGAAGCTGCACTGTTCGGGAATTTGTTATTTTGATTTAAAAAAAATTGATGAATGAAAAGGCTGTTAAAAATGAGCACAAAGAAGGGTAACCCATTTCGTCATATAGATGGTAAACTTCGTCTGTCTGCTCAGTTGCCGTGACAGCCTGTTGTTTGGAGCCAAAACGGGGCACGTTGGCGGCAAAATAGAAAATGCCACAGTAAAATGCATGTAAGAAGGGATGCTACACGTCTCCAAGGTGTTAGAAGGTGTAGACAGGCTGGCTTAGGGGGGGTAGAAACGTGAGAGAGAGAAGAGTGTCGGGAGAGAGAGAGCCCCCTCGGCCGAGGGAGGTGCAGGTCCCCCCAACACCGACTACCTCAATGCTGGCTACCTTGTGCCACCTCATATATTTATTATGGTAACGCTTACGGTAATGGCATGGTTGTGGAGGGGGTTAAATGTCTGGTGGTAAGAGTACTCGCCAGCACGGGAGAGATCTGTAATAACATCCAGAAGGAAGCTTTTGTTGTTGTTACAAGCTTCAACTTGCACCATGATGATGATGCTGGGAGAGGAGCTCCCAGGCATGCATAATTCCCACGTCATGCATAACTCCCACAGCATGCATAACTTCTATGTCATGCATAACTCCCATGGCATGCATAACTCCATCATACATAACTCCTATGTCATGCATAACTCCCACATCATACATAAATCCTATGTCATGCATAACTCCCACGTCATGCATAACTCCCACTTCATACATATGCTTTTTGGACTAAAATAGTCTTTAGTTGTAGTTCCTGTGACAGGGTATGGGGAAAATGATATAATATTAGATTTAATTTAAGGATCAGATTTTGAGTTTATAAATCAAATAAGATAATTTAGCCTTATTAAAGGTGTGCATGGCCTGGGTCAGTAACTTATGGTCAGAGCTAATGGTACATATTAAGCCACACCTATCCTAGAATATATGTAAAATTATATTTTTTTAGTCATTGAAAGTTTACTTAATCTAATCTTTAAAGAAGTTTAAGGATTATAGCTTTGCTGAAAGTGTAGATTTATGAAAACAGATTGAAGTTTGAATTATCTGTGTTCTATTCACCATAGCTACCAAAAGTGCTCTTATTTTTTAATGCTCTATTTCACTCGCAGCAGACAGCATTAATCTGCATATCTTCTTGACAAACTCATATAATCCAGTCTTTTCTGTGAAATTTGATTCGATAAATGTATACTGTATTATGTAACCTCTAATTGATCAACTACCCATGTTAATGTAATAATAGCCTAGTCTGCCTGTCTGCACACCAGGGCATGTAACAATAGTGTAGCTGTCTGCACACCAGGGCATGTAACAATAGTGTAGCTGTCTGCACACCAGGGCATGTAACAATAGTGTAGCTATCTGCACACCAGGGCATGTAACAATAGTGTAGCTGTCTGCACACCAGGGCATGTAACAATAGTGTAGCTGTCTGCACACCAGGGCATGTAACAGTAGTGTAGCTGTCTGCACACCAGGGCATGTAACAATAGTGTAGCTGTCTGCACACCAGGGGATGTAACAATAGTGTAGCTGTCTGCACGCCAGGGCATGTAACAATAGTGTAGCTGTCTGCACACCAGGGCATGTAACAATAGTGTAGCTGTCTGCACGCCAGGGCATGTAACAATAGTGTAGCTGTCTGCACACCAGGGCATGTAACAATAGTGTAGCTGTCTGCACGCCAGGGGATGCGTGAGTAGTACTCACCTAGTTGTACTCACTTAGTTGTGCATGCAGGGGTTGAGCTTTGGCTCTTTGGTCCTGCCTCTCAACTGTCAATCAACTGGTGTGCAGATTCTGGAGCCTATTAGATTGTATCAAATCTACATTTGAAACTGTGTATGGAGTCTGTCTCCACCACATCACTGCCTAAAATCAGTTTAGTAGTAAAGTAGTGTAGTTATATGCACACTAGGGCATGTAACAGTTACCACTATAATAAGAAGACTAAACTTTTCTTTTATGTGAGTAGATTCATAGTAACAAAAGGAAACAGGAAAAGGAAATGGAAAGGCATTGCTAACATTCTTGGATCTAAACAACAGTCACATAACAAGCAGATAACTCTCCAAGGATGGTTACACACCTACAACAGACTTTAAAACAGCAACTAAATTTAATAGTTTCTTCTCATAAATTGGTGCTAACCTTACCAGAAACATCCCAGAGACCCACATACATGTTGCTACATATCTCACTGGCACCTTTTCTAACTCTCTACTCCTTTTGCCAGTCAGCCCAACAAACATTATATCGTCATTATATTCTTATATAATAAGCGAGTCATTATAATTGACTCGGTTAACCCTTATACTGTGCATGGCATACATATTTGACAGGACCTAATGGTACCATAAGTTTAATTTCTCAAACTTGCTCAAACGATTTCCAATTTTTTGTGCTTAATCTACTAGCAAATCCTGCAACTTTGTCTAAATGATCACAAACTTAACTTGATAAATAAGAAAATACAAAATAATTATAAAATTGAATATAGAAAACTTCAGATTTTCAAATCACCTGCAAAAATATAAAATATCACTAGTTGTTCATATGGTGTTGTTATGCTCTCAGAATAGCATATGGTCTTCATTTTGATAGATTTAGAATATAGGTTTTCAGTTTAGTTTTCTGTTAAAAAAAAAAATCGCCAATGTGGCATTTGAAATATGTGCCAAATTTAGAAAAAAATAATTATAACTCCAAACGTTTAGGGTTTATGAAAAACCCATTCTAATAGGATTGTAGAACAGACAGCTGTGCACACTATATGTACAAATGGTGAGAATCGGTCAGAAACTGGATTTTTTTAAGCTAACTCAATGTTGAAACTCTTGTTTTAGAGATAATTGAAGTTGAAGTTATCGACACTGAATAAGGTACAGTAGTTCTAATTCATTAATTTACTTGTATGTTTTAATAAACATTGTTTGGCATTCGTACTCGAATATGTGAAAGTTGTAGGTCAATATGTGACCCCCCACCCCCAAAAAAAAAAAATAGGGATAATTATAATGATTTTAGGGGATTAAGATATATACTTGTATAAGTGATAAAGCTCTAATCTGGTTCCTAATCATCAAAACTACCTAAAGAGACAAAGAAAATAGAGTTTGAAATCTGTGAAAAAATCAGCCTCCCCCCCCCCCAAAAAAAAAAAAAAAAACTTCAAAGTTCCAAGTTCTGCCAGCGGTGACCGATTTACTTTTTGACCAATTTCATTCTACAAGTATCTTCATTAGGAACGGGTATGCATTCTCCAGGATGTAGAAGTTACAACAAAATCAGTTAATAAACAAAGGAGACAAAAAAAAATTTGGACATTGGTGAAAGTAACAGATATTAACATTGGGAATGTATTTTTATGATATATAACAAAATAGAGTATAATAGCATATTTACTCATTATTATTGGTATTATTATGTATTACTCAGCAATGCTATAAAGGCACCAGCTGCATATCCACTTTGTGGATACTTCTTACTACTATTCTTCTTCCTTGTGCATTGGACAGGTGCTTGCATCTCTTTATTACTGCATTATCCCTCAGTTCTAGTTAATAGGAGCTGTTCTCCTTATCAACAAAACTTTCTTCTTTTTTAATAAAAATTTGTCTAAAATCCATTTCTGAATATATTGGGATAAAACTTTCCTGACGCCGAAGCCAATAAGTTGGAGATTTGTTTAACATTTAATATTAATTTTCACATAATTTGAATATTTTTTTGCCCAGCCCCAGCTTATACCCCCCATTTATAGCCCAAGCTGTAGCAGCGTAAAGGTTAAAACAGATGCTGGGAACAGTAGTGATAAACCAGCTGTGAGAGTGCCGCTCATGTGCTTGTACCAACCATAGCCCAGTTATTCAACAAATCTCTAGTGTCATACTTCTCCTGATATCCTTTAAAAAGTAAGAGTAACTATCCTTTAAGAAGTAAGAGTAACTCCAGTTCATAAGAGGCAATACAGCTGACATAAACACTTTTAGACCAATATTAAATCTACCGGTACTATAAAAAATATTTGAATCAATTACTATATTTACAAACAGTTCTACTCGTACCATGTAAAATTCAACAATATTAAGTCACTGGCAGTTTGACTTTAATTCCCAAAAGAGTACCAATGAATCCATTATTAGTCTGCTTGATGTAATCTATACAGCCCTTGACAAAAACAAGTTCCCAATTGGTCTCTTCATTGACCTGAGAAAGGCCTTTGTTATACTGTCAACCATAACTACTCCTTACTTAAACATCACCACTACGGAATCTGAGGCCTGGCTCTGAACTATATTCAATCATATCAAAGTGACAGACACCAATATGTAGCCATTAATGATATAACCTCCCCCACTCTACCATTGACAGTAGGAGTGCCACAGGACAGCATTTAGGACCTCTCCTATTTCTTATATTCATCAATGATTTGCCAAAGGTCTGTTAACATTCTTAAACCAGTCAAATATGCGCTTTGGCCTGCTCTGGGGAACGACGCCCGCCACTGCCCCCCGAATGAGAAGGCAGGAGGCAAACCGGGAGTCCCCCTAATATTTGACAAATTTGCTGGCAATACTACCTTAACTTATTCAGACCCCAACCCCCACATACTAAAAAATAATGTGAATAAAAAATTTAAAACTCCGCTCATGGATGTCAACCCACAAACTCGCACTAAACACAGAAAAGACCTACTATATTTTATTTGAAAGTAAATCATCAAACCAAATTCAATTTCAGATAAACAATGTTAACATTAGCATTAAAAATAATGGAAAGTTCCTTGGCCAAGAGACTTAACTTTAGCACCTGTATACAACACAGCCCAAAAAAGTATCAAAAACTGTTGGTATACTCAATAAAAATCAGATACAGTATTA